ACACATATGCAACATCTCTCCCGATTTTCTAAGGCAGTGATATTTACACATATGCAACATCTCTCCCGCCAGATATTCTTACTCCGTTTTGGATGGTTTCGCCTTGGCACTAGTATGGTAAGATATAAATATTCTCTTTTCATACACATATCTGGCGGGAGATTATACGGAATAAGAATTATGGGCCAAAGAGAATGGTTACCACCAGACGATCCAAATGGGTTAAAACCATCAGTACATAGCCCCAGATAAACATTCCTGCTTTTGGATGCAAACTCAGGATAAAGCTGTTGGAAATGCTTCCATGCCTTACCATCAGAAGGATGTTGCATAACTCCATCATGGCATGTATGTTCTGCGTGCCAACTCATATGTGGTGCTGTCTTTTCGGATAGATAAAATCTTTTCAGCCGATATAATAATGGAAGATAGAACATCCTCTTGTACGTAATACGCTGTCTAGAAGAAACCTTCCTTGTCTTCTCAAGTTTGTCCCTTGGATGCTCACAAAATTTATAACTTATTAAAGTTTCATCAGTTTCACCCCAATAAATCATGCAATTATTTTGGCATACATCAATCCTGTGGTACGGCATACTCAATATCCGCATCAACTTCTTTGTGTCATAATAAGTTCCAGGAGCAACATTACCTTTTGGAAGAACCTTATGAAACAAGTGTGCAATATCATCGACACACGCTTCTGTTTGATTGTGTGTCGTCTTAATGTGCATTATATCAGCAGCTAACGAAAATTTTGACAAGCCTTCAACGCAATTATCATAAAGAGGTTCACTTGCTGTATTTAACCGGTTGAAAAAATTTGCGGCCTCAGGATTAGGGTCTTCCCAAGCATTATCTTCAACCGCGGGTTCATAAAATTGTTCAGCACTTCCACTTGTCAGCAATCTAAAACGATTAAAACTTAATTTAATTATATAATACTAACAAATTTTATCGGTATTTATTTTTGTTTTGTTTGAATATATTTTTCTAATAAGTATTGTTATTTCTTTAATGAATTTTATTTATTTTTGTATGTATTAACTAAATATTTCAAATTTTTATCATTTTCAACAAGGAGATGTTATATATATATATATATATATATATATATATATATATATATATCAATAATATTATCTTTTATTTTATATATTAACACTTGAAATTAACAATTTATATAAGATAACACACACACACACACACACACACACATATATATATATATATATATATATATATATATATATATATATATTTGACAAAATTAAATTAATATTTCAATTAACCAATTTTTATCGGTATTTAATTTAATTTATTTTTGTTTAAACAGATTTTTCTCATAAGTTTTTTTTTTTGAATTTTTTTTTGTATGGACTAAGATACTAAATTTTATGTATAGACCTAATTAAGTTTTGTCCTTATTTAATATATTTTATTTTTGTTTAAATCGATTTATCTAATAATTATTTCTTTTTTTTTTTAATTTCCTTTTGTGTATGGACTAAGATACCAAATTTTATGTATGGAATTAATATTTCAATTAACAAATTTTTACATGTATTTAATTTATTTTATTTTTGTTTGAACAGATTTTTCTAATAAGTATTTTTTTTTTTTGAATTTCCTTTTTTTGCATGGACTTAATTAAATTATATAATACTAACAAATTTTATCGTTATTTGTTTTGTTTTGCGTGAATAGATTTTTCTAATAATTATTTTTATTTCTTTAATGAATATTATTTATTTTTGTATGGACTAATTAAATATTCCAAATTTTTATATCTTTTTCAACTAGTAGATAATATATAAATATATATACATATATATATATATATATATATATATATATATATCCATAATATTAACTTTTATTTTATATATTGACACATGAAATTAACAATTTCTATTAGATGACATATATATATATATATATATATATATATATATATATATTATGACAAAATTGAATTAATATTAAATTAACCAATTTTTATCTATATTTATTATTTTATTTTATTTTTGAACAGATTTTTCTAATAAGTATTTTTTTTTAATTTCTTTTTTTTTGTATGGACTAAGATATAGACCTTTTATAACATTGTCAACGAGTATATGATATCTCTAATAATACTTTTTATTTAATCTAGTACAACTTGGAATTCTATTAGAAGATATATATATATATATATATACATATATAATCAAATTAATATTTCTATTAACCAACTTTGAATGGTGTATATGATTATTTATTATTCTAATAACTTTATAGTAAGTATTTTAAATCTTATATATATAACAAAATAATAACTTACCTTGATTGTGGTATTGACATATCTCCAGTTGAGACAATTTCTCCCATATAACCAGATTGAAAATTCCATTCCGCTCCAACTGCTTGAAATGTATTATCTTCCAGAGTTTCGTCGGCCGCATTATTTTGGTATTGATCCTCGAATTTCTCCCCGTAAGCTGTCCAAACATAATAGTTGGGTTGAAACTCTCTATTATACAAATGCTTAGACACAATTTTTATAGAAATGAGTTCTCCATTTCTACACGTTCGGCACGGACACTATATTCGACTCCCCTCATACAGTCGATAGTTTGCAAAATCCATGAATTGAGTCAACCCAGCTTCATATTCGTCGGATACAAGTCCTGTATTTGGATTAATACGATTGTACATCCACTTTCTTAGAATCTCTATATTATTGCTCGAAGACATTTTTTTGTTACAGAAGAAGAAAACGAGAATTTTAGAAAAAATATTTTTCAAATGAGAAATTTTTAGAGTGAATATGAAAGAAAATGTTTTTTTGTATCTTGATCTACATTCATAAAAACAGAGAACGAATGTGTCGCGTTTATATAGAAGAAGATAATAATTATATTTGTTACTTTACGAATCACGGGTATGGCAACTTGCAAAAAAGACGACAACATATGATTATTAACTTGCGGTTGGGAAGAAAACAACAGAATTGCTACCAAATTATTGTCGCAAAAGCAGTGCCCTTTCGCTACAGATAGAGGCATTAATCCGTTGCAACTTGCTACAAAAGTGCTGTCGTCGATAATTATTGTTAACTTTTATATGAAATTTTAATCATGTTACAAAATTTGCGACGAGTTAGCTTTGTGAAAAGTTGCAACAACTTCTTTAACACATATTCAAGCAAATTTGTTACAATATAAATTCATTAGTATGTTGTCGCTATTTATCTATATTTTGTAACATATTAGCTACAAATCCTTTTAAAATACTATTTGTCTCTAATTTGTAAGTAATATGTAGCAAAATTGTGTTACAAATTTTTGCTGTCGCAAAACTGGTAGCTATATATATAAAAAATTATAGTATATTTATATATACATATATAATCAAATTAATATTTCTATTAACCAAATTTTAATGGTGTATATGATTATTTATTAATTTAATAACTTTATAGTAAGTATTCTAAATCTTATATCGACATATACATTTTTACAGGGTTTTTTTGCATAAATTCTTTTGGATCCGGGTAATATCTGGGATTAACTATATTCGGATCTTGGATAAGGATTTTAAGGAATGTTGTCTTAAAACCACATTGAAATATTCACTCTAATTACTTCTATAATTCCATATTTAAGCTACCAATTCGCACTTGACATATTCCTAAACTATTTCGATAATCAAATATCTCCGGAAGCTAATCATACCTAATTTATTCCACTGATATTTACACAATCAAAACAAATAACTTCTCACATACCTTATCATCTCTATTGTTCCTCCATTTTCGTCAATGCAATCTTTAACAAATCTTGCTTCTGCTACTATCAATTTAAATGACTTCCAAATATGTGTTTCCCTCTACTAATTGAATTTATTTTCCCGCCTACGCTCAGTTCTTATCATTTCAGAGAATCTTTTAGTTATCCTCTCCTTCCCACAGATTTCTGGAAACCACAACCGATTAATTGCCAACCATTAATCTATATTCCATAATTTTAACAATGCAGAGATTTTATGCCGATTTGGAAGAGATTGCGATACCAATATGCTTTGTCATCAAGTTTTCTTTAACCTAATCTATCACCCTATATATAGTTCCATATCTAACCTCTCATCATCATCAGCACTCACAGCCTCTAATCTAAACATTTTCTCTAAACATAATCGAGCAAACAATGGCTGCTGCAACATTTGCTTACTTCAAAGATGTCAGGCCATACACCACACAGTGGAGAGTCCAAGTGAAGGTACTTCACTCCTGACGTCAGTACACATCCAACACTGGTGAAACTCTAGAGTTGGTGTTATCTGACATTGAGGTAAATCAGTTACATAATAATTGTTAATTAGTTTGCATTAAACCATTTTAAAGCTACTATTTTTATCTGACTCTACTGTTTCTATACACTTTAACAGGGCGAAAAGATTCATGCTACTGTGAAGAAGGAACTGGTGAGCAGATATGTCTCCAGCTTACCTGTTGGTCATTGGGTGTTCATTGAGATCTTTGCTCTCAATTATGCCAGTGGCCAATTCCGTCCAACCTCTCATCTATATAAGATGACTTTCACAAATGGAACTCATGTCTTTCCATGTGATCCTGTCTCTGACTCAAGTTACCTGTCACTAGCCAGTTTCAAAAGAATTCAAAATGGAGATCTTAATCCATACATATTGGTTGGTAAGTATCTGTTTTATTTAAAGATATTAAATAAATCAATCTATAGTTTACAAACAGAACATGATATATTTTTATCTCTGTTTTTCTTTTATAGATGTTATTGGCCAGATTGTTATGATTGGAGAGTTGTTGACTCTTGAAGCCAATAACAAACCAACTAGCAAGATTGAGTTTGAAATGAGAAATGAAACGTAAGAGTTTTCAATTTTTTTGTGTTGTATCTTCTACTTATCCTACTGAACATGTTCTGTTTTGTACATAAAAATGATGAAAGGATCGGTGTTACCTTGTGGGGATCATTTGCTGAGACTGTTTACAAAGGAAGCCAAGATGCTGGTGGGTGTCTTGTTGTTTGTTTGTTGAGGTTTGTGAAGATCAAATCCTTCAAAGGTACAGAAAACAGAATCTTAGCAACCATATCAATATACTGAGACCGTTTATATAGAAGTTATGCCTCATATATCATATTTGTAATCTACAGGTGTAAAGACTTTGTCTAACTCATTTGATGCTTCACAAGTTTTTGTGAATCCAGCAATCCCTGAAATTGCTGTGTTTGTTCAAAGGTACATTTTGCATGTGATTTAATAGTTTATCCTATTGTACTTACTTCTGTACTATGGAACTAACCTATATATACATGTTTTTGACATATAGTCTCCCAAGTGATGGTGCAATGTGTATCTTCCGTGAGAGAGTCCCAAAGTTTGAGATTGTTGTTGCTAATCAGGATGATACTTCTTTAGATCATCCCAGGAAAACCATTGTGGATCTCCTCAACTCTGTCGAGGTAATTAGTTATGTTTACTATCATTAGAAAACGTTTTAGTGTCTATTAAATATCCCTATTAATATCTAAATTTTTGCTCGATTGGCAAGGCAAGGTTGATGTGTACTATCTATGCAATTGATACCGACTGGGTTGGTATTACATTAGCTATCGTGCTTGCAATAAGAAAGTCACACATATCCACCATGGAGTGAATGATGTGAATAACAAAGGGAAAAAGCCAAGGTTCTGGTGTGACACTTGCAAATCTGTTGTCACTAATGTCGTGGCTAGGTAAAAAATTCTTTTATTGACATGTTATTAGTCTATAGACGTAAATTATATATCTAACATTATTGTTTACATTTTATGTAGGTTTATGCTCTATGCTAAGGTGATGGACAACACTGGTGAAGCTAAATTGTTACTGTTTGATTCAGTTTGCTCTGAAATCATTGGAGAGTCTGCTACATCTGTGCTTAATGGTTCCGTTGATGAGGTTTGATGCACTATTCTATATTTTAATATTTTTTTTTTACATTTTTCTAGACACACAAGTTCCCGAATAGTTTTTAATTTCAGATTGATGATCCAGAAAACATACCAGATGCAGTTAGGAATCTATTTGGAAGGACATTTCTTAGCCTGGTGTCTGTTGAGAAAGAGAATATTTGGGATGGGAAGGAGATATACAAGGTATCTAAAGTGTTGCAGAAAGATGGCCTTCTGCTTGAGGAACAATTGCTGGAGGATTCTCAGGAATTGGTCAATCATGCATCTATTGTGTCTGGTGATCAGGTAATTGTTTTGTCAGAACATGTTTAGCATAAAACAATTGGTAGTACATGGATCTTAAAACTAGCTAAGCTATAGTATTAATTTCATCGTTTGTTTTATTACAGGTGCCACTAATGCTGGAGATGAGTCAAGAGACTTCTGACTCTGTCACTCCATCATCTAAACGTGTTTATGCTGACAATCCCGGTTCTTCTGATCATTCTTCTTCTTCTAAGAAGTTGTGCATTGAACCTATTGACTTTGGTGATCAAGATTCTATTACTAAGGATCAAGAGGCAAATGTGAAGGACATAGCTCCCAAGGTTGTTGTGGTGATTAATGATGATGCTTACAAATCTGAGCCTAAGACTAATAATGTTGTATCCAATGGTGGAGTGGGTACACATGAGGTGAAGGAGGGGAAATGTGTTAAAGGTGGTGTGAAGGTCAAGGTTGAAAAGAAGTGAAGAATGGTTGCTATGATTTGATTTATTTCATGCTTTGTTTTTTTATTGCTTTCAGATTTCTAAGACTTTGCTTTCTATTATTGCTTGCTATTCTGTTTTCTAATTCCTTTCTATTGTTTTCGTTGGATGCTATTTTATTTCAATATATCATTTCTTAAAATTAGAGTCTTATTCTATATTAATTAACCTAATAGATATAGTCTTCCGTGCTTATCCTATAACTTCATCTATAAACCTAATTCATTAGAGAGCATAATAGACATACATCTACATATATAGGTATAACTAAGATTCCGTATAACTTCATATATGTAGGATATTAAAATTCTTAGAAGTATATATATTGTCTATATATAATGTACACTCAATCTTCCATATTTGACAGGTAATCTTTAAAAGTAATCATTTTGGTAACTGGCAACTTTTTCAATCATTATCAATGATTCTCTATAATCTAAAAAATATAGAGTATATTAATAAAACAATTAATAACGTTTCGATTTCCTTTATTTTCTTTAACAATTTATTATGCCTCTTCATCAATCTCTCTATATAACCAACTAGACCTATCGTTTAGAATTGAGAAAGAAACACTGTAACTTCCCTTTTCAAAGCAGAGCAGAATCGTTAAAAAAAAATGGTTGATATGCATCTTCTTTCCCAAATTCGTGTTAACTCTACAGAATGGAGGGTTTATGTTAAGATAATGCGTATCTGGCATCACAATCCACCATTGAATGGTGATGTAACCACAATGATTCTCGCAGATGAGAAGGTTTGTTTGTAATTCTTATCTTCTGTTTTAAAACATAGTGAAGATCAACCATTTACTTTCTTTTCTTACTTAATATCTCTTGACTTTTTTGTTTTTGTTTGTATAGGGTAATTTCTGCGATGCAACAATTCCTAGAGACAACTACATGTGGAACTTTCAACCTGGACTCAAAGAAGGTTTGTGGTATTACATGTCTGACTTCCAACCAGTCGTACCCTCAGAATACCAAGCCAGATTTGCACCATTGCCACTTCAGATTAGGTGTATCAGACAAACAACAATTTGGCCTGTTAGATCTAGGGGTTTTAGCAATTTCTTTGACTTTATGACTCCTGATTCTATCAGAAACCCTCATCCAGATGATGGAACCTATGTCACTGGTAATAAAAGAGACTAAGTTCAAGTTATATAGTTATCTATTTATATGTCTTTCCAACCATTTTGTGTTGTGTTTTTTTAGATGCTATGGGTGTGATCTTTGCTGTGTCCACCATTGGAAGGTTTCCCTTTGTTTGTCGTCCTGGGGAGACAGATTATGAAGCTCGCTATGTCTGTTTCAAGATTGCTAACAATGTGTAAGTTTTCTATATTTCTGTCTAATTTTGTACAAGATAATGAAGTTTGTTATCATGTTATATCTAGTAAAAACAATATGCTTTGATGGCTACATGAATCTAGGGGTGAGACTATCAAATGCGTTGCTATTGGTAAGTGGTATGAGTTCTTTATCAACGCTTGGTCCAGAAGAATTAGCTCTGTAGATTACAACTATGATAAGATAGTTGCAGTTTTGCGTTTCTAGAGGATCTCATCGTACTGTGGTAGGTTTTAATGAGATTTTGCTATTGCTGAACTTATTTTTGCATTGTTATATTGACTGTGTTTATTATTGTACTATAGGAAAAAATGTCTTAATGAGTGAATCTTGCTATTCACGTCTCTACATTGATCCCATTTTCTATGAGCTAGACTTACCGAGCTACCTGTAAGTATCATTTATATTTTAGACTTCTTTTATGTTTTTCATTTTTCAGTGTTAACATAAATGCAACTATCTTTCTGTTAGGCGCTCTTTTGAAAATACTTCAAGTGATAAGGAAGATGTCATGATGGAGATGGTTGAGGAGAACTAATTCTTGTGAGGGATATCTGTGGATGTGTTACGGTGGCTAGCTCTTTTGAAGAACTCTGAATGTTTAGGTGTTATGTTTTAAGTTTCTGTTTTGACTCTGAATGTTTTTAATTTTCTTTTGTTTTTATCAACTACTACTGCAACTCTGCACAAGAGTTTGCAAACTTTCTTTCTCTTTAATATTTTAATCTGTGTTGAATCTGTTTTACAATTATGTGGTTTTTTGGTATTTTGATGTCTACAAGTTTAAGACTGAAGCCTATTAAGAGAAAAAGGGTTATAAATTAATTATGAATTTAAGTCTAACTATATCTCAAACATAACTATTTAGGTAAATTCGTTTACTTTAGTAAATTAAATGATTTGGTTTAAGAAACTGTTTAGAAAGCATACCTAGATGTTAAAGGTATTGGTTAGCTTTAGACAAGCATCAATCAAGATCCTCATTGCTTGCTGTATTTCCTTAATCTGCGTAATTATAAACATTGCCACTTCACTTTTAATAACTTATCAATTATTATATGAATCACTAACAATAATATTGGACAGATTTTCTAAATATTATCATTGAACCATCTAAATTTATCTCAATGCCTAGAATATAAAAACTGTCTATATTTTATTAACAGATCAATATTACTTGATCAATGGCGTATCTGCCATTTAATTTTTAAAAGGCTATTTCAGTATGAAGTTCATTGTTTATCAGAAGAACCATTTTGCTTAAACTCGCTGTTTTTCTTTTGTTTTCAAATATGAAAAAAGCCTGACTACCCTCTTTTAGACTTGAACTCTTCACCTACACCAGCTAAAAGATCCCGTGTTAATCAAACTCCAACATCGCAGAGCCAAATTACTCAAACTACTGGCTCTAAGCCTAACTACCCTTTTCTAGATTTGAATTCCTCACCTAAAACACCTAAAACAGTCCAGTTTGGTCAAACACCAACATCACAGAGCCAAATTACTCAAGCTACTGGCTCTAAGCCTAACTACCCTCTTATAGACTTGAACTCTTCTCCTAAACCAGCTAAAAGATAACGTGTTATTCAGACTCCAACACCACAGAGCCAAATTACTCAAGCTACTGTCTTTAACACAAATAGTTCTGTTCCTCTAAAATCAGCCTTTAGCAGAGTGTTTAGAGATATTACCAATCTTCCTTGCAGAAATGATGAAACAAGTAAGACCCCTACCAGTCAGCAGCAATCATTATCTTCAAAACATACATAACAACTACTTGGTCCTGCTCTTCCTACTTCATGCTTAGGCAAACCGTCAGGCTGTACACCTGTTCCACGAGAAAATAACTGCCATGTCAGAAATTTACAAGACGCCTTTGCTAATGCATCATTTTCTCCTACAGACAAAGGTAACAGACATTTCTTAAGTTACTGTCTTACTTTTCAGAGTTTTACCAATCTACTATCTAAATACTTCACTTAATTATATATGTGTTTTTACTTCATAGGAAAAGGAAAAGAACCAGTACAGCCAACCTTAACAGATTGTAGCACTGATGATGAAAGTATAGAGCATATTAATTATATTGGAATGAATGACAGTGAATCTGATGGAACACAACACTACTCTGTTAGAAACACAGAAGATGAAGTTGAAGAAGGTTACTCGGCTCCTGTTTAGGAACCTTCTATTAAACAGATATTTAATTCTCCACAACAAGTTATTAACTTGAGTTGTTCAGCGGATGAATCAACTGTTGAATTCACTACTCCTACTGTAAGTGTTACTAGGAAAAGTGTAGAAAGGAAAGCAGTGACTCAAAATATAAATCTACCTAAGAAAAGAGGTCGGCCAAGATTGGCTTTCCCCACAAAAAGGGGAGTAGCAAAAGCAAAGAAAGCAAGTTAGAACTTAAAAATATAGTTAGATAGACATTTATTTGCTCTACATATAGCATCCTTTGTTGCGTAAATATTACTAACACTCTGTTTTTCCTTTAGGATATCTTGATCATGGTGATCCTACATACAAGTGTAAGTATTGTGGTGCTTTGATGTGGTTTGATGAGCGCATAAACAAAAGAAACAATGGTAAGGATCCAACATTTACTCTATGTTGTGGGCAAGGCAGTGTGAAATTGCCATTTCTCAAGGAATCACCAGAGCTTATTAAAAAGCTTCTTAAAGGAAAAGATGCAATTAGTAGAAATTTCAGAGAGAATTTAAGGATTTATAATATGCTCTTCGCAATGACCTCCCTTGGTGGGAAGGTAGATAAATCTATGCCTAAAGGTAAAGGACCTGCAATGTTTCGATTGCAAGGAGGAAACTATCATCAAATTGGGGGATTAAAACCTGCTGCTGGTGATTATGCTAAGTATTCACAACTTTATATAGTTGATACTGAAACTGAAGTTAATCATAGAGCTACTGTCATCGGGTAAGAGTTATAATAGTATTTGAAAACCAAAAATATTGTTATATTAACTTCGCTACTATATTCAGCTGTAGTTATCTAACTCTGTGTTTTCTTATGGTCATTGCAGCAAGGGTAAAAATCTAAAGTCTACCTCTTGGAAAAAAAAACTGAACAAGGAACTGATTGAAGCAATAATAAAAATGCTGAATGAATCAAACCCTTATGTCAAGAAATTCAGGTCTGCAAGAGAGAGGTTTCAATCTAATGATGATGAACCATTTCATATGCGGATTGTTGCTGATCATCAAGGTGTTGATGGGAGGCAATACAGTATGCCTACAGCAGGAGACGTTGCAGCTTTGATCCCTGGTGATTTCATTCCTGACATGCCAGTTCGTGATATAATTCTTGAAAAATCCTCAAATGGACGCCTAAAGAGGATCAGCCAGATTCATATTTCCTATTTGGCTCTACAATACCCTCTAATATTTTGTTATGGTGAAGATGGTTACAGGCCTGGTATTGAGAAGTGTTACAAATCAAGCAACAACAAGAAGAAAAAGTGTATAAGTATGAGACAGTGGTTTGCTTTCCGCATTCAAGAGAGGGAAAATGAGTGTCATACTCTGCTTGAATCAAAGAGGTTGTTCCAACAGTTTCTGTGTGATGCATATACAACTATTGAATCAAACCGCCTCTCTTATATCAAGTTTAATCAGTCTAAGCTACGATGTGAGAATTTCAACTCCATTAAAGAAGCTGCTAACTCTGGAACCAAAGATATGGCTGAAGAGATTCTTATTCCAGCATCTTTCACTGGTGGACCTAGATATATGATCCAAAGCTATTACGATGCTATGGCTATCTGTAAGCGTTATGGTTTCCCAGATCTTTTCATCACCTTTACATGTAATCCTAAGTGGCCTGAGATTACAAGATATTGTGAAGCAAGAGGGTTAATTGTTGATGATAGACCGGACATCGAGGATATTCAAAATGAAATTGGATTCTCTGATGAAAGACTTAACAGAAAGAAAAATGCTTGGAAAGACAGCTACATGTAAGTTTTTCATTTTACAGTGTCGGTTTTATAGTTTAAGAATACAGCAAATGATATTTGTTTTTCCTAACTATTGCTTCTTTTCCTCTTCCAGCTATGTATACTGTTGAATTCCAGAAAAGAGGATTGCCTCATGCTCACATCCTCTTATTTATGGATGTTAATAGTAAACTACCAACAGCTGACGACATTGACAAGATCATATCTGCAGAAATTCTAGACAAAGAGAAAGAACCAGAGCTATATGAAGTTATCAAAAACTCTATGATTCATGCACCATGTGGCTCAGCGAATCCAAATTCTCCGTGTATGGTTGATGGCCAGTGTTCTAAGCTATACCCAAAAAAACATCAAGAGATCACTAAGGTTGGTAGTGATGGTTATCCTGTCTATAGGAGGAGGCTCGCAGAAGATTATATTGAGAAAGGTGATGTTAAATGTGACAATAGGTACGTTGTCCCTTATAATAAGAAGCTCTCTCTTCGATATAATGCTCATATCAACGTGGAATGGTGCAATCAGAATGGTTCTATCAAATACTTGTTTAAGTATATAAACAAAGGACCAGATATGGTTACAGTGATCGTTGAGCCTATAAATCAGCTAACAACAGGTGAAACAGCAACTGGTGCTACAACAACTGGTGATACAGCTACTATAGCTCAAGAACCAGATTCAAATGAGAAACAGAAGGATGAAATAAAAGATTGGTTTGACTGCAGGTATGTTATTACCTTAACCATATGTAAATTAGTAAGTTTTTATCCTGTTACAATTTTATTTATTTAATTTTTTTTATGTCTATAGATATGTATCAGCTTCAGAGGCGGTTTGGAGAATTTTTAAATTTCCTATTCAACACAGATCAACCCTGTTGGTGTCGGATCCCGCACCAGAGGTCCAGGACCAACCAAAGATTGCCACGTAGTCAGGGTAACGGCCCATAAGGGGTAAAGTCCATTAGACCCACAAGACAAAAGAACAGTCGAAGTGGTTATCACCACAAGGAGAATCCAAAGTGACTGCACCTCGACACTAGTCCGGAGACGAAGTCGTGGTTAAGTCGGTCCAAGGACATTTGGGCCAAAAGGCGAGGCCCATGAAGATCGGAATCAACTCAAATTCGAACGTTAAGCATTAAAATCAAAGATAAAAACGGACACATTTAAGAGAGAATAATTGTACTTAATTAGCCATTTAAATGTCGTTTTTTTATGTATAAATATAAAGGCCAATGGCCATGAAAAGGGGATCTTCCTCTCGAGTAAGAAATACTATATTAATTTTTGTAGCAATTCATAAGCTTTTTGCATATTTATTTTTGTCCCTTAAGAATAATCTTTCCTACTTAATAAAAATACTTGAGTGTGAGAATCCGACATCCACATTTTGGCGCCGCCTGTGGGGATAGAGGATTCTTGAGCGGTCAGATTTTTCTTTACTACATTTCCATTTCCGATATAAGCAGCAATGTCTGGAGGAGACGCAGTTGAGCTGTCATTGGCCGAAACCCTCAAAGCCATGCAACAAACTATGTCAGAAATGTCGCAGAAGTTCTCGAATGTGGAAAAGGCCGTCGACACGTTACAAACATCCCAGGTATCTCTTAGTCAAAACGTCAGTACGATACAAACTCGTGTTCGCTCTTTAAGTGCAGGAAATCATGTGGGAATCCGAAGAAGGATATTCAACTCGCCAAGTTCCGTTGCGCGAAATGAAACCAGCGGACAAACAACTCCCGGTGCTACTAATAATGTAGTTCAGCCATTGGAGGGAGAGACACAGCTCGAAGATGAAGTTCAACTTGCAGATCAATACGAGCAGGAAAACCTCGACCAGTTCGAGACTATGAGGAAGATTAGCCAGGAACTAAAAGAAATGAAGTCAAAGTTCCATCAGGCTACGAGTTTGGAGCCGGATATCAATCGAGTCATTGAAGAAGCTAGGAGAACATCTTTCATTCCGCGAATCGTAAGTTTAAGAATCAAAGATTCTCGGAAGCTCAAGTTGGACCCTTACAGCGGATTGGAGGATCCGAAGAGCTATCTCGCAGCTTTCCTGATAGCTGCCGGAAGAGTCGAATTGGATGAATCTGATGAGGATGCAGGGTACTGCAAGCTCTTTTCGGAAAATCTATGTGGCCAAGCTCTAATGTGGTTCACCCAATTAGAGCTGGGTTCGATCAGCAATTTCGACGAACTATCAGCTGTGTTCTTAAAACAATATTCCATCCTTATGGACAAAAGTGTTTCGGATGCCGATCTTTGGAACCTGTCACAAGGATCAAATGAGTCACTTCGAGTTTTCATCACCAAGTTCAAAGGAGTGCTGTCAAAGCTCCCAAGAATCTCGCAGCAATCAGCTTTATCTGCCCTACGAAAAGGATTGCGACATGATTCAAGGTTTAAGGAGGATTTAATACTTCATAAACCAGACACAATTCAGGATGCACTCTTCCGCGCAAACAACTGGATGGAAGTAGAGGACGAAAAAGAAAATTTTGCCAAAAGAAATAAACAAGAGAAGCCGGCAATTACCGTTCCTATCAAGAAGTTCGAGTCTAGGGAGAGCAAAGGACCAAGAAAATTTGGGTCGCAACCGTTCAACAGTATTGTCGGAAAGCAATTCCAAGGGAAAGGAAGGTCAAACACTTGGATCCGTGATGAAAGTTTATATTGCGATATAAACGTAACCGGACACTTAACCAAGGATTGTAGTGTCCTTAAGAGGCATCTCGCGGAGCTTTGGGCCAGTGGAGATCTTTCCAAATTCAATATAAAAGATTTCGTGAAAGAATACCACGAAGCAAGGGGTAACTCCAAAGACAAGAATTCCAAAAGACCAAAGTTATCTAATGAAGAAGAGCCAAGGAGTTCGAAGGGTAAGATTAATGTGATTCTAGGAGGTTCTAAATTTTGCCGAGACTCGATAAGTTCCTTCAAGAAACATAGGCGAAATGTTTTACTCAAAGCAAGTTTGAGTGAAGAAGTCGATTTTCAAGGTGCATCAATATCATTTGACGAAGAAGAAACGCGGCATCTCGAGAGACCTCATGATGATGCATTAGTCATTACCTTGGACGTTGCCAACTTCGAAGTATCAAGGATTCTTATCGATACGGGCAGTTCGGTCGATCTAATCTTTTTAAGTACTTTAGAAAGAATGGGAATTAGTCGGGCAGACATAATAGGGCCTCCATCTCCGTTAGTAGCATTCACAAGTGAATCAGCCATGTCCCTCGGAACAATCAAGCTACCAGTCCTTGCCAAACGGGTGTCAAAGAACGTGGATTTTGTTGTTTTTGATAAGCCCGTGGCTTACAACATCATCCTCGGGACTCCTTGGATTTATCAAATGAAGGCAGTCCCCTCTACGTATCATCAATGTATCAAATTTCCAGCACCAAATGGAGTGGAAACAATTCGGGGGGATCAAGAAGCTTCGAGAACATGTTATCTAGCTAGCCACCGTTTGAAGATTCAATAGCAATTAACGAAGCCCGAAAAAGAGGGACTAAGACAAAAATTTCCTAGCGGGCAGAAAAGAGATGATGTAGTAATCGAAGTAGTGTTGAAAGAAGATAAACCGGATCGGAAAATTCGAATTGGAGCTACTTTGACTGGGCAAATAAAGGAAGCTTTGATCGAGCTTTTAAGGAAAAACGAAACATCATTTGCATGGTCGACGGCGGATATGCCTGGCATAGATCCAAGCATAATTTGTCATGAACTAAACGTGGATCCAAGTTTCAAGCCTATAAAGCAAAAAAGAAGAAAGCTCGGAGTAGAACGAGCAAAAATAGTAAACGACGAAGTGGACAAACTTTTAAAGATAGGGTCCATAAGGGAAGGACAATACCCGGAATGGGTAGCAAACACCGTCGTGGTTAAAAAGAAGAATGGAAAAGATAGAGTATGCATCGACTTCACGGACCTCAATAAAGCATGTCCTAAAGATAGTTTCCCGCTCCCGCATATAGATCGACTCTTAGAGTCCACCGCTGGGAATGAACTGCTGACCTTCATGGATGCTTTCTCGGGTTATAATCAAATAATGATGAACCCCGAGGACCAAGAAAAAACGTCATTTATCACGGATAGAGGTATCTATTGTTACAAAGTGATGCCTTTTGGTTTAAAAAATGCAGGAGTAACTTATCAACGGTTGGTTAACAAAATGTTCCACAATCATCTCGGGAAGACAATGGAAGTCTACAGAGATGACATGTTGGTTAAATCATTAAAGAAGGAGGATCACGTTAAGCATCTAGAGGAATGTTTCGATATTCTCAATAAGTATCAAATGAAGCTAAACCCGGCAAAGTGCACATTCGGAATCCCATCCGTAGAATTTCTAGGCTATATTGTGACAGAGAGAGGGATTGAGGCCAATCCAAACCAAATCAACGCCTTTCTAAACATGCAGTCTCCGAGAAACTTCAAGGAGGTACAGCGTTTGACTGGGCGGATCGCGGCTTTAAATCGTTTTATCTCGAGATCAACAGATAAGTCGTTGCCTTTTTACCAAATTCTAAAAGGAAACAAAGGATTCCTTTGGGATGAAAAGTGTGAAGAAGTTTTCGGGCAGCTTAAGGCATATTTAACTACCCCACCTATATTGTCCAAACCGGAAGTGGACGAAAAGCTTTATCTGTACGTGTCAGTTTCAAACCACGCGGTTAGTGGAGTCCTGGTCCGGGAAGACCGCGGAGAGCAGAAGCCGATTTACTATATAAGTAAGTCAATGACGGATCCGGAAACCAGATATACAATGATGGAAAAACTCGCACTCGCAGTAGTGACTTTAGCTCAGAAGCTGCGCCCATATTTTCAATCCCATCCGATCGAAGTACTAACCAACCAGCCACTCCGAACAATACTTCATAGTCCAAGACAGTCCGGACGTTTGGTGAAATGGGCGGTAGAATTGAGCGAGTACGATATAGAATTCAAAAGCCGAATCAGTATGAAGGCTCAGGTTTTAGCAGATTTCCTGACCGAACTACCAATACCTGGCACGCTAGAACAACCAGAGAACCAAACTTGGAAATTGCATGTAGATGGGTCTTCATCAAAGCAAGGATCCGGAGTGGGAATCAAGTTGGAATCTCCAACATCGGAAATTCTAGAACAATCATTCCGATTATTATTTAATGCTTCCAACAATGAGGCAGAATACGAAGCCCTAATTGTCGGACTTCGATTGGCACAAGGAGTTGGAGCTAAGGAAATAGTCTTTTATTGTGATTCGCAATTAGTAGTTAACCAGTTTAATGGAGACTACGAGGCCAAGGACTCAAGAATGGATGGAGACTACGAGGCCAAGGACTCAAGACTATCAAAGGATGCATTGTATAGACGAGGTGTCAGTGACCCTTACCTATTATGCATTTTTGGGCCCGAAGTCGAAATTGTCATGAGCGAAGTGCATGAAGGATTATGTGGGAGTCATTCATCAGGAAGAGCTATGGCTTTTAAAGTTAAAAGAATGGGATACTATTGGCCCACTATGATCACGGATTGTGTCAAATTCGCCCAAAGATGTAAGCGCTGCCAACTCCATGCACCATTGATCCGTCAACCTTCGGAGTTATTCTCTTCCATCTCCACCCCATACCCGTTTATGAGGTGGTCAATGGACATCATTGGACCATTGCACAGATCAACTCGAGGTGTACAATACCTTTTGGTTATGACGGACTACTTTTCAAAGTGGATTCAAGCTGAGGCATATGTTGGCATCAAGGATTCGGCGGTGAAGACTTTCATTTGGAAAAATATTATATGTCGACATGGAGTTCCGTACGAAATAGTCACTGATAACGGGCCACAATTCATTTCACAAGAGTTTGATGCCTTTTGTGCGGACTGGGGAATTAAAGTCAGTTACTCTACTCCACGATATCCGCAAGGAAACGGTCAAGCCGAAGCCGCGAACAAGACAATACTGAGCAATCTCAAGAAACGCTTGAATCATCTAAAGGGAGGATGGTATGAAGAACTCCAACCCGTCCTATGGGCCTATCGTACAACCCCTAGGCGACCCACCGGAGAAACTCCATTCTCTCTGGTTTATGGCATGGAGGCAGTAGTACCAGCTGAACTCAACGTGCCCGGACTTCGCCGAACAGAAGCACCATTAAATGAGGAAGAAAATTCAGCAATGCTTAATAATTTACTAGATACCATAAATGAAAGGCGCGATCAAGCTTTGATTCGAATTCAGAATTACCAGCAGGCAGCAGCCCGATATTACAACTCTAAAGTCAAAAGTAGGCCGTTCTTCGTAGGAGATTATCTTTTAAGGCGCGTCTTTGACAATTAAAAAGAAGAAGGTGCCGGTAAACTCGGTATTAATTGGGAAGGACCTTACATTGTTACCGAAGTGGTTCAGAACGGTGTTTATAGGCTGAAAGACTTGGAAGACAGGCCAGTCAAGCGACCTTGGAATGTGATCAACCTAAAGAAGTTTTATGTTTAAAGCTACACGCATTTTTATGTACATGAACTACGGTGTGGCTTGATCCCGAAATGGGTACGTAGGCAGCTCGGAAACGAGTTCAGCTATTAATAAAAATTTTGTTTTATTTCTTTATTAAAGGAAAAGGTTCGACTGTGCGAACAAGTGAAGCAAATAAAGGTTCGGCTATGCGAACATACAGGAGATTGGAAATAGAGCGTTTATTCAAACAAATAAGATGGAATGTCCCTCATCGAACGCTTCGGATTAGGGAAATCTTGTTGAGGAACAGAACACTTCAACTCCTTGACCAGCAAGGTCGAGGATTGGCATCATGCATTCCGGAATTCGAGCGAAGTCAGAGATTCCAAGCTCGATCCATTCTCCGGGGTGAGAACCAAGAATGTGAAGATCACTTGATATCGTAGTAAGCCTGCGTTGCATCCGGTTAATCCTCTTCCGGAGTCTCCTCTTTTCCAATGTAAGCTTCCAATGTTGAAGTGCAAGTGCCTCTATGAATGCCATCGCTGTTCCTTGGTCTCTGATTGGGAGATTCCTGATCAAAGCGCACGGAGCTCGGATCTGAGATCTGAAGAAGCCGCGAGGTGGAAGAGGCTGCCTGTTTGGCTCATTTGGAACATCTTCGTTTATCATTCCGATCCTGGAGAAGTCTGGCATAGATTCTGAACATCGAAGGTTGAACTCCATACCTGCTAAAATGAAAAAAGAGTGGTGAGGAGTAAAGGGAAATTGAGACTATAATTTATAAGAACGTCATGTCTCTTGGAGTGATTCGCGGAGAGATTTACGCTCTTAAACCAATCCTGCATTAAAAGACGTATCTCCGAGAATATTTTGAAGAATAAGGAAAATTGCAAATGTTTCCATAAATAAAAAAAAGGGGGCCGAAGCCCATTATGAGTTTAAAATAGGAGCAGAGTTAGGGAACATTTAAGGAAGAGGCTCAGGAACAGGCTCCTTCATCGCCGGTTTAATTTTCGAAGTGGACGCCTTGTTCTTGGCATCCACTTCGAGATGATCCCGAACGCGTTTCCGATGGGTGCTGGCATCCTCCTCGTCTTCTTCTTCGCCATCAGATGGAGCGGTATAGACCGGGGCATTCACGGGCCCCGGAACTCCCTTAGCACGGAGATACATCCGGAGCATCTTCGGGATCTCAGCAACAGAATCGAAATTCCGCCATTCCCATTGAAAGGGATCACTTTCCAGAGCTCTTATCTTCCTCTCCACACGAGCG